AAATGAGGTTCCTCGTCCCTCCCTGGGATCTGGGGTGGGGGGTTCTGGGTGGGGAAGTGGCCGAGCAGCGCCGGCGAACTGCGCCCTGCAGAGCGCTTGGCCAGCGTCTATTTTTAGACAAACCCTCCTCCTGCTCCTCAGGAGTCCTTTTGCCTCAACGCCACCCCCCTGACCGGCCTGCCTTGTTTGCCCACTGCACTGCAGGGAACCATTTTCAGAGCAGGCTGGTATAAAAACCACAACAGACACTTCCCTTAAGTTATTTATTAATCTAAAAACAGTAGCCGTGCTGCTGTCCCCAAGGGGAAAGCCCCGGCCTGGCAGTGAAGTGCTTGTGATAAAACTGTCATCGCCTCAGGAGCGAGTAGAGGGGAGTCCAGGCAGCTCCTGTGACCTTCCAGGGAGGTGCCTCCTCTGAGCTGGGGGTGTAGGAGAAGAGCTCAGCCTTTGCATGTGGAGATTTGACCTGGCCAGAACCAAGAGCTACTGCTCAGAGGTTGTGGCTGCTGGCTCACGCAGAAAAGCACTTCAGCAAGGACTAATTAAAAAGCCCCACAACCTTCAGAAAGCAAGTCAAGCAAAGGGGGAAGAGGATCCTTCAGTCAATTACAGCAGAGAAAGAATCGACCTTGAGAATTTCTGGAGGGCTCAGGAGGGACCAAGATAACATGACTAAAGTTGAGAACCATCTACTCAAAACAGAGGCAGTTTTCCAAGTAGCTAGATCTTCATGGGAACAGCAGCCCAAACTCTTACAGATTAAGTCCTGAGCCTCCAAACCCTTCACAGGTAACTAAGCTCTGAAGCGGCAGCACCAAGCTTGGGCCTGAGCAAAACCACCCTGATCTGAGAGAGGAGGCTCTTCCTGAAGTGGTCTCGTTCTTCCGAAAGGATTCTGTCTTAATGCAGAGCTAGTGCTCGCCCCCTCAGAGTTCAACAGCTGGGAAGAGCCTCCTGTCAGGGTGCCTTCCGAAAGGCCCTTCTGTTTATGAAGACTTACCGGACAGTTACAGACAGGCCCTGCACAGTGGTTCAGAGAGCTGGGGGCCCGGCTGCTGCTGTGCACAGCAGCTGGAAAGTTGTGCCCCAGCTGTCACCTCAGGTTACCTCCTCAGGCTGCCTTACAGAAGGAAGTGGGTTTAAAACACCAGGTCACTGTACGTTGTCTTAAGAAACCTGAAATTTAGCAACATCGCACAGGGGAAGAAGGAATGGTTGGTTCACACGTGAGTGAACCACCCATCAGAGCCAGCCTGGACACGGAACGGGAGAGCAGGCCAGACCTGTGGCAGCGGGGCGGAGCCAGCATGGCCGCGGTGCGCACCCTGCAGCCCGGCCGGCTGAGTTTCTCAGGAGCTGTTTGTGCAGCAGCAGCTACACCTGGTTCTTCTCCGTGTTCTGAGGCAGGAACTCACTTTTAGTCAGGCTCCCCCTCCCTCCCGGCATCAGGTCCGGTTGATCCTCCCCAGCACAGAGGAGCAGCAGTTTGCTTTGGCAGGTAGAGCTAAGACATTTCATAGTTTTGGTGAAAGCAGGGGAACCATGTCTGGCCTCCGGCAGCCACAGCATTTAGCTTCCTCCCTCTTGTTCTTCCCCATGCGGGAGCTCAGCAGTCAAGGAGCAAAGATCTTCCGGGTCACAGACGCTTCCAGCTGCTTCACTCCCATGGGCACATTCTCCTTATTTTCGGATCCAGGGTGCTGATGCCGCTTGCGGAAGTAACAGGCTCGGCAGACGGAGTGGTACTTGTCTGCTCCTCCAATCACTTCAACCTGGCGAGAAAATGGGGCGAGTGACTCTGCAGAGCTCAGTGCCCCAGAGGAGACCCCTGCAGACAAGCAGGACTGTCAAGGTGCATCTCCTGAAGTACTTTCTGTTCCAAGGGAACTCACCTCCCTCTCTGCTCCCAGCCTCTTGGTGTAGGAGGCCTCTCGGTAGCACTCCATGCACACGGCGTTCAGCTTCACCACGCTCTCTGCCAGTGGCACCAGGTTCAGGATGCTCCCGAAGGCCTGTGCCGAGACAGCAGGGGCAGTTCTGTTGGATGGGGTCTGTGTGGATCCCAAAGCAGCTGCTGTACTAAGAGAGTGTTTTACCTTTCTCTGGAAAGTCCCATCGAGAGCAGCAACGATGACTGTTTTCCCAGTGTTAGCCATCATCTCACAGAACTCCACGATGTCTGGGAACTAGAGGAGGTAGAAAAACAGTGGCAGGAGGAAGAAGGGGCAGCACTTTGCTCAGACCCAGCAGCACACACTCGGCACAGGGAACAAAGAAAGTTTGAGCTGTGTTGCCGATCTGCGAAACAGGAATCCAGTCCCGCTGCCCTCAGCCCGCAGGGGCGAAGGGAAGGGTTTGCCAGCAGGATCAAACTGCCTCAGGGTATTTCTTCCCACCCCCTCGGCGGAGGATCCA